CTTCGGTTTTTTTTTTTTTTTTGTCTCTGAGAAATAGAACTCGAAATGTGAAATTCGGATATTGTGGTGGATCTGACAGGAACGCTTCCCCGTCTGTCGGATGGCCTTTTAGAGACATCATGAGATACATGGGGATGAATGAATCCCTATAGCCATTACTTGTTCATCATGGTGGCTGTGTTCGTGGACACATTTTATTGCCACGGTACATCACTCTGAAGACTTACGTGAAGGAGATCGTACCAACCCATGAATTCGGGTGCACAGCTGTTCTTCATAGTTTTATGTGCTATTTCAATTCATTTTAAATCAGAAAACGAACCATTCATGCAAATAAAAAATCACTTTGTATTCTCCAAAAACCCATAAAACTGTGTCACACGTCGTAGAATACTTCGCTAGTTTTTCCGGCATTGTTAAAAAGACAATGTTTGTAAAAAAAAAAAATACTTCGCTAGTGGGTCCAGGCCCCAGCTGTCAAGGCTTACATCAATCACAGAAGAAGTCAAGGTACTCAGCGGCCAACTGGCCTCAACTCGGGGCCAGGTCCCACACGACCAGCGACGAGTTTTCTCAACGCCTGAATCTGGACATGTTTGCCGGAATGTGTGGTTGAGGATCCGACTAGCAGCGTGCCTGAACTGGACGTGTTTGCGGAGATCTGGGTTGAGGAAACTCAATGCCGTTTTTGCACCTCTGCACAAACCCGTCCAGGTTCAGACGTTTAACTGAACAAGACCCCTGACGAGTGCCCGTTTGGCGGCCGGACGAAACGCAGCCGAGGGTTGCTGCGCCATTTTCTACATACCTATTGTACGATGTTTTTGGCGGTGCTTTCGCGTTAAATACATTCACGGCCAATTCGGTCGCATTTCGGCATTTTGGGTCTGTGCCCCCCCCCCCCCTTCTCTCTCTCTCTCTCTCTCTCTCTCTCTCTCTCTCTCTCTCTCTCTCTGTGTCTGTGTGTGAGGATGTTGCCTGCTTGACGCACATATGATTGATTGGTTTGCTGTGGATGACTATCGTTTCATTCAGGCGTTTAGGAAACTCAAGGGTGATAGTGGGACTTGCCCCCCCCCTCCTCCCCTCCCCTCCTCTCCTCTCCCCTCCCCAGGGAGAACCTTGTTCCTGTAGCAATTAGACAAAAAAAAAAGAAAAAGGGAAATTGTCGAAATACCTCTTAAAAAATCGTGTATTGCGTTGGATATCTGAAATACTCCCCAAAAAAAAAAAAAAAAAAATCTGAAATACTCCTAAAAGGCTAAAACCCAGGGGCCTGAGATCCCCCAAACTTCTGCATCTGCCCTTGTCCCTCTCATTGCCTTCTGCGCCATATGCCCTGGCCCTTGGCTGGAGGGGCCCTTGCATTACTATTGCCACAAATACTGGGGCAGTCCTTCTGGACGTCCGTTATATTTGGAGCGATCATCAGTTAGGGCCTCGGTCGACACCACTTGAACCCTTTAAGGGTTGAAGGAAAATTTTCATTTCGACCCTAAACCCTAACCTCGCGGTGGAGTTGTTTCTATCCTTGGGGGGTGGAAAGAAGAACTCGAGTGGTGTGGAACGAGGCCCTCAGAGAAGATTAGCGTGGCCCCTGCAGGGAGGTCATCATCAGGGATGCAGCTGTTCTTCATCAGAAAGGTCATCATTAGGGGAGCTGGTCTCCATCAAGGAGGTCATCATCAGGGGAGCTGCTCTTCATCAGGAAGGTCATCATTAGGGGAGCAGCTCTTCATCAGGATGTTTCCTTGTTCTATTTGTTTGTTTTGTCTCTTGCATGTTATCATCATCTCAGTATTGTAGCTGGGTGGCTATTATCTTCATCAGCATTTTTGTTCCCTACAATATAGATCATCATCATCTTCTTCATGCTGTCGTGCGCTCATAGCATAATGGCAACAAAAAAAAAAAAAAAAAAAACTGCATTGCACAGTGCGCTGCTATCACCATTGCCCTCTTCTACGGCATCTTATAAAGAAAATTCAATGATTGCGCACGGCGCTTCTCGCCATCTTCACGTTGATTGTTGACATCATCAGAGTGCGGTGGGTCTTCCTCATCACTGCGCTGCTCCTTCTCATTAACCTATTCATTAGTTTCTTCATCCTAGGGCAGTTCTCGCCGTCATCATCTCATTGAGTTATCCATTCTCATCAGCTTCATCAACCATTATCATCACCATCATCATCATCATCAGCCTCTCAATTTTTATTTCCCTGTTCTTTTCTATACTTGTGGTTGTAAAAAAAAATCCTCCCCACAAGGTTGCTGACGTGGAGGGCAGGATGGATAGAGTGG